GACATTCGAATCAGCACACTTTTGCCAATGTGGCAGCAGTCGAGAAATCCCATCAAAAAACTGGGTGGTCGAGAATCCACGAAATCTGCGAAGGTCTTTTTTGCCTGGTCTTAATTGATGAAGTATTTTTCAGCAAGGAAGTTCTGAAAATGTCTGAAAAGGTGACAGTCGGTTGGTGAAAGGTCTAGAGAATATGGTGGGTGAGGTAGCAGCTCTCAAATCCGCCCAATTGCGTTGCAAGTTATGACTATAGTGATTTGTGAAACGTGTGGGCGGGCGTTGTCATGCAAAAGAATCGGACCCTTTCTTTTGATAAGTGTTGGCTGCAGCTGACAATATTTTCGGTACATTTGGTCGGTTTGTTCACAGTAGGGTTCTGCTGTGATGGTTTGGCCTGGTGATGAAAAGTTATAGTGGATTACAACAGCCGATGACCACCAAACCTGACCAGAATTTTTTTTTCGCGAGGGTTCGGCTTTGAAAATTAGGTAACCTCGTGTTGCCTACAAATCCAACGCACTGTCGCGGAAGCGTCTTCCTGTTATCATACATGATCCATTTTTCATCACAGGTGACAAATCCGTTCAAAAACGGGTCAATTCTTTTGCGCAAAAGCAGTGAAGAAGGAACCTCGAGACGTGCCGATTCCTGCCGGTCACTCCGATTGTGGGCACCCAATTGTCGAGTTTTTTTCACACTCCAATGCGTTCCAGACCAGTCTGCAACAGTGGATTTGCCAAGGCCTAGCTCTTCTGCTATCTCTCGAACTGTTTGGGATGGGTCAACCTTCAAAATCCCCCTAAAATCCTCGTCAGATATTGCTTTAGGTCGACCGCTATGAGGCTCACCTTCAAGGCTGAAATCTCCAGAGCGAAATTTATTGAGCCATTGCCGCACAGTGCTTTCTTTAGCACTATTGCGGCCCCGCACGACCTGTTAATTGTCTGAGGCTGTTCGATTGCGGATTGCCCCAATTTATAGCCGAAGAAAAAAATCGTCCGAAGTGCTCTTTTCACATGCTTGAAAAAATCTTGAAAAAAGAGGGTTTATCAAGCAATGGTGAAACGGCAATTATACCATCAGATAGCGCAAGAAATTCTCTACAGGATGTGCTACTGAGAAGCAAGGCAGAATGAGTTTTTAATCAGCAGTGAATGTACAAAGATTAGGTGCACAAAACGCTAAGAACTCCGGACAAACCTAACTACATGGGGAAGTTGCGGGAGGGTCCATTCAAGGGAATAGATTGGGGGGGGGGTCAGGAAAATGATCACAGGCGCGATGGCGTGGCTGCCGGCTGAAATACGCTTTTAGGCGCAGAGAGCACGACGAGGAAAGACAAGAGCAAGCAGCGTGTTCGCCTATAGGTTAAGGCGTTTAGGGCTGGCCGTGCGCCAGGCGGAGGCAAAGAGGCATGCTTGAGGTGAGTAGGCGTGAAAGAGACCCTCAATAGTGCCTAAGCTGTTGTAACTGCAGCTCACAAGATCCAAGCCGAGGCTAGGCCCGGCCGAAGAGGCACTCGGGAGGCAAGTCTCTGATGCCAGCAAGATTTAGCGCCCTCTCAGCAATGGCAATCCATGCAGCGCGTCAGGCCAGCTAAGCTACGAGTCCTTGTTCGCTGAGTATGATCGGGAGTGCAAGGAGCTGGTTGGGCGCGCTGTGCCGGAACCCGTTTACCTCCGGTTTATTGAAGCGAGAGAAGTTTGGTGAAAACAAAGCTGGTGTCTCAACGAAGATGAGCCCCCTGTATACGCTTCAGCTCTCCTTTAGCGAACCAAAACATTAGGAAGTGCCCTGAAAGACACGGCGCAGATGGTGCACCTCCTTGAAGGTCCTAAAGGCTCGCGGACATCTGCTACTCGCGGCGACAGTGTGTCTCCAGGTTCCAGTGCCCACGTGGGCGTGATCTCCCATGCACCTATCACCACCCCATCAGCTAGAAGGCTACTCACCATCAGAACTGTTATGGCGAGCTGGAGAACATGATCAAACCAAGATGTGACCTAATCGCTTGCTGTGAGAGATACGCTCGCCAGCCTGTTGAGAATGTGCCACGCATTCTGTTTCTACGATTAGTTGTAAGATTTGAAACCGATCCAGCTTGTACAGCGATCAGAGGTAACCAAATGTTTGAGAGAGTGTTTTCATCGTCCTAGACGAGCCTGCTACCGTAATCGGCACTGAAGAGATCGAAGACTGGTTTGCCTTCAAAGATTCAGTCTGAGATAGATACCCCTTGATCGTGCAGAATAGCAATATTTCTGTACAATCAGATGTCAGCAACCATGTAACCAAACGATCTACACTATGTCATACTCGGAAGCGATATGGCCAAGTCAGTCGCTTAATATTACGCTGGGAACGTGCGAGGAAGAACCGGAAGTGTGCAACGAACAGTATCAGTGAGTTTTTGAGCCCAAATTTTTTCGAGCCAAGCACTATCTAAAACGAAGATTTCTATACTGTACAGTGCCTCCTGCTCAAACGGCGAGCCCTTCACTCAGCAGGCTCTATTTTAGAGAACGCTACACTACTAGATGGACCCCTCCCAAACTCCCCTCCCCCGATTTCCTGAGCCCAAAGACGATGTACCTACATTGGAAAGGCCCTGTGCACCTCCGCCTCTCTCACTGGCGCAAAAGTGTCTGCCTGTCTGCACACTCCCATCAAAACAGTATTCCTTTCTCCATACACGTCCAACCCTAGAAGGGGGTAGACGACCAGAGCCGGTGCGACCCCGACATGGCACGATAATTTGGTTCTCGGTCTATAATCCTAGCAGGGTGCTATATTGTGAAAAATGGCGAAAAATGAAGTGAAACGGTCGAAAACCTGTAAAAAATGCCACCGTGCCATGACTCAGAAAGCAATTCCACACGGGTTTTCCATAGGCATGCTGCTAACCGCTACGGTAAATACTGCTGCACGTATCCATGCAGCACCGCGGCCGCTTCATATCAATCCCTTCGCTTCATATTTTACTTAGCAAATGAAGCAATACGAGCATCAGGTACGGTCGTCCATTTGTGGGCGGGCGGGCGCGGTGGGCGTCGTCGGGACGTTGCAGCTTGATAAGGCGCTATAAGGGCACCTTCCTTGGAAAAGCAGCGCCAGCTCAGGGGCGCGGAACTCCGTCCTGCCAGCTTAATCCTACTCGTCTTAATGATTTATCGTACCAGCTGCCTTTCACGTCCTGCTTTTCACTTAGCAAGCTTTTCGAATTGTACTTGATATAAGAAAAGTAGATCCATAAAGCATTTCCCCTTATGCCAGTTATTTTTTTTCATTTTAATTGCTAAAAATCCCAGAGTTTCAGGGAAAACGCCGCGATGTTGGAGGTGTTCTACGAGGCTCTTAATTTTGAAACTCTCACCGAATCCGAAGCTTACGGAGTGAGTTGACCTCCTTACTGACTCCAGTGTTCTAATCTTCTGGTATAACGTACAAACCGTCGGTTCACATCGCGTAGTCGAGAGGGGGCACGCGGTGTCGCGACTGAGGCTGCTCGTCTGCGCCTCTCACTGAGTTGACGATTCCTTCGTGGAGTTTCATCGACCTACATGGGACCAGTCTCTATTAAACTACTATACTACGCAATACTTAAACACCATATCCCGAAGATGGAGAGGGCGTGGCTGCGTGTTTCGTCCGGTCCGCATACGGCTTTGGCTACGTGACTACGCTTCTGGTGGATACTTTCCTTTCAGTGTGAATTGAAACCGTGCATTTTTCCTGCACAAGGAAGGATTACGGCCGTTTCGTATAGGAATGTCTACGAAAAAACGCGACCTGCGCAATCTTCAGGTGAAGTAAGCGGCCACGCCCTCTCATTATCTGGCAAGGGAGCGTACGGAGCGTAAACGAAAGTGTTTATGTGGCGCATGTCAATTCTATGATGCGAAAAACAGCATTCCCTCCATGGTTCTCCCATAGAGGGTGTGCACATTCTTCTTTAGTCAGCATAATCACTCTTGACTTGTAGGTCGTGAAAATGCTGGCCGATTTCGGTGGACAACTGGGCCTATGGTCAGGCGTCTCGTTCATGACGAATCTGCGAATTTGCCTGCCTTTTCTGTGAACTTCTCTACATGATGTTCTCACATCACTATAACAAATACAAATTGAAGAAACGCGAAAAGGATGACTTCTGATCCGGACGAGCCTTCACAGCTACTGGATGGAGTTTTTGTTGATATATTGTGATATATTTGTTGTGTGCTATAAAAAGTTGGAACTAGAGTGATTTGCCCTTTAATACACCTAGCCAGCATGTTTTCCACATTCCTCTGCGGGAACGGTGCGATTATAGGACCGCTTTCCGGGAACTCCGCCTATTTCGTCTGACTCTGCAATCATTTTTGCGAACGCCTCGCCCACTCAGCTGACGGCTTCATTGCGATCACGAACTGCCCACGGTTTTCGCCATCTTCATCCATTTCAGAAGCAACAGCCTTTCACTTAACTCCAGTAGCCCATTCGGAAGGGAAAAAACGTTTGGTCGACTAATGGTAAGGCAGCCAAATACGCCTAAGCACTATACCACTAACCATACGGTGGAACGAAAGGTTTCTGCTGAACGCAGTCTTTTTTCCGTATTATGATGATTTTAGGTGAGGATCCTTGCCATAGCCTCGGCACATTATCCGTATCGTGAAGAATTTTTGCTCAACACAACCTTTCACCCAAGTTTTGTTCTTCAGTGCCACCTTTACCAACCTACCTATTCTCCCACCTACTTTTCATGAAGTTCTGCTAACGACTTCTCCCCAGCGTCCAAGCAAAACCCCCTTGTGTTTGATATGACGGCAATGTGCTCTGCTTCTGGCGCCTCTGCCTGAACTGCACTCACTAGTATTCGATCGTAGCCAGACCAATCAGTTACTAAGCAACCACATAGCAGAGTTGGTTGCAAGTCCGAAACAGCGAGTTTTTGTACCGGCGATGTGGTGCCGTCTCTATAAAACGACATAATAAAAGAATGAGATTCATTTTTCAAAAATTCAGCCTAATTTCCTAACAACCAGAGTTCATAGCAGTGCGCTCCAGATACCTAGCTGGTTAGTCTTCTCATAGGCGGAATGGGCTGGTCCGCAGCTGCAGGTAACTTTGAAGTGCAACTTTGGAAGCCCGCGAAAGTGGTGGAAGGGTAGGAGGCGGGGGGTTGTGACAGCCCGGATTTCGTTGAAGGCATGAGACACCATAATCTGCTACTCTGTCTAATGGTAAGATCATAGCAGCTACACTGAGGGAAAACGACAAAAAAGCGAAGTTAGACGGTCAAGACCTGCGGAAAAAGCCCTTCTTCTGCGCAACATTGTACGAGTACACTCCTACAGAAAGAAATATTGGACGAGTTTTCCGTCGCCATCGCAGTAGCGACCATATTGGTGGATGCGGCTGCACGTAAGCACTCATATATCCATGTAGCAACGCTTCGTATCAATTGTATTTCACGAATAAAGCGACAAGAGTACCAGCATCGATGTGACCGTTTGGGTCGGCATGTTGCACCTTGCCTAGGTACTATTAGGTCATCCCATTCAAAGTGGCCGATGGTTTTTAAAACAAAGAGGAGAATAGATAGAAAAGTGATATTTTAGCTTTAGGATGAGTAAATCCCTCCTTCACCAATGACCCGCTCCCAGTGCCCCGAGGGCCTTTGGACCTCTGGTACCTTCGATTTTTCAACAAGTGTGGGTAAATTGCTGTTGTTGCCAATTTCGGCAAATGACAAAACATTGTAGCGTCTGCCGTCGAAGAGTACTCTCTACTGAATAGAACAGTTGTAATCGCATGGCTTTATGACGGGCGAATGGGGCGATTGAACCCAGGTCTCAGTATTGTTTGTGTCCCAGCACTGATCTACAATACAGTTACTCGGGGTCTGGCACTATGACGAGCAACGGTGGCCTTCTTGTAGTTGTGTGGTAGCATCCATTTGTCGATCTGAATGCCGAGGAACAGGCAATATGCACCGACAGTGACGGATTTGTCTCTGTATAGAGCCGCTTGAAAGCCACAGTGTGGGAATCCTTTGCTATGATGATCATCCACTTGCGCCCACGTAACTCTTCATGGTAGAACTTGTCGTATCCGTCGTATAGCTGCCGAAACTCCGAGGTGGAGGATGTAGGCGTGGTCAACGCCCAGACATGTCACTCAAGACGATTCCGAGAGTCAGCATGATGCAATAGCTGGCGAGTACTTAAGCAGCCAGTAGTCAGTAGTAGTCAGTCAGTTGTCTTATTATATCGTCTATCTGGTAGATGTGAGAGTAACGAGGAGTGGCGCTTTGTTGATTGCATGCGTATGTTCGCGCAGGTATGAAGAGGAGACATTTGTTAAGTTGGGTGTCGCTGACCGAATGCCGCGGCGCCTGTTGCGCTTGCCACGCCGATTCGAGATTAGTGATTGCTGGTGAGTTACCGTAATCTGTCGGGTGGCGAGTGGGAGGGTGATTAATAGTGGTCAGCCGTATGGACGGCGAGGATAAGTTTGAAGGGAGGCGACAAATTGATAGGTGCCAGGTGTATAACGCTCATCCGTTTGCCTTTGCGCCAGCCGCCTGGAATTGTATAAATGTCGGATTTGAAATTTATTACATGCAGGGATGGCGTACGCAGGGGGAAACGTCTTATATAAGCCTGATTGTTACAATGGTGGTCAGTAGGTGCAAGCGTCACCTTTCCTGCTCGGTCCGGCTCGGTCGTCTTATTTCTGGCTGTGCCATTGTGCTGCAGTTATTGGCTATTTTTACCCATATTTTATGATTGGAGTATAGTGTGAGTAGTTACTTTTGTTATTGCGTAGTGATTATAGAGTATGGTTATTCCGACTGGTGATATGCCTGATTCTTTGAATTGGCGGTTCAAAGAATGTTAAAGCAGCGTTCTTGTATCAAAATCAAAAAACATAATGCCTTACACACGCCCTTGTACTGGTCGACCTTATGTGTTATACAAAATAATAATAACACAGACTAGTATTCGCATCATAATTTCCTTTATTATGTCCTTATACTAGTCGAAACGTGTGCAACACAGACTAGTATTCGTATCACCATATAACTACTATTGTCCATCTAACAGAATATTTAGCATAAATAGAAAAAATACAAAAAAATATGTTTTTCGTGCCTTCAACATTGTATAACTCTAACCCATTCTCGATGTATTTCTTCTCACATAGAATGCGTTGTATACCTTCATATAATACACCCATCCGATGTAACCCCCCCTACTCTCTGAGCTCGAGGACGAGCTCTTTTTCTCAAAGGAGTGAGTAGACGATAGACGATATAATAAGACAAATGACTACGCAATGACTATCTTTGAACCACCATGCACCTACTGTACCATGCATATAAATCTCTCTTAACATCATGAATGCCTTCCTTCATCCTCACACCGACAATATTACATCCATTTTGCTGGAATTGTGTTTCGAGTATCATTGTTCCGGAACACTCCGCACGTTCCTGTTCAAGATCAATGGAATGACGCTCGGAGCTCGAGGACGAGCTCGCTATAAGGAATGGAGATGTCGTATCCGTCGTATAGCTGCCGAAACTCCGAGGTGGAGGATGTAGGCGTGGTCAACGCCCAGACATGTCACTCAAGACGATTCCGAGAGTCAGCATGATGCAATAGCTGGCGAGTACTTAAGCAGCCAGTAGTCAGTAGTAGTCAGTCAGTTAGTCAGTCTAGTCTTACTAAGTCTCAGCAACAGCTGTCGTCTACCAGCCAGCCTTGGCTGCTCCCCTTCAACCTGTCCCCCATTATCCCGCTTATAAAGAAATCAATAAATATTATATAAATCTCCTTGTTACTAGTATCCAACACCGCTACACCATCAGATGAAGGCCGGTACCCCTTCAATCTGATAAACTCGGGCGGCTTCTCATCTGCATTCATAGAAAATTGACGATTGTGAGTTTCGACTCGAGGTCCGAGACCACCCATATTTCATCTAGGGCCGGGGTGCGTTTTCACAGTTGTGAGTGACATCTCATGCTGAGAACATTACTGCTGGAGGTATAGAATCGGTACTGCGTTCGTGCTTCTATAAGAAAATTGGGTACCCATGCGCCACCTTGACCCTCCGTTTATCGGACATAACTCGGGCAGCAGTTGCAGCTGGGATGTCAGACTCGCGGGGAAGCTCGACAAGGGTCCAGGCTCTGTGATCAGATATTCAGTGCCTGACTTCATCCACCCGTTTTTCTTGTGCAGGATGAATATTATGGGACCACCCACGACAACAAATTTTTTCCTTTCTTCCTTGTACGGGCTCCTGGCGTATTTCGGATGAACACCCTAACACCCTTACACACAACTATGGTCCGGCGCAGGTCAAATTTGAGCAGCGCACTTTCCTTTTATGACGTCTGATTTGAAAAACCGGCGCCGATTTTCACCACTCGGGCTTCTTTCAATTTCTCGAGAACTTCTTCAGAGGCTAGGTTCGCCAAATTTCACAGATACACAGCTTAAGGTACTAGCTTCCAAATGGTATAGTAGCCCGCTGCTCTATCCCCTTTGCTTTTCTGCCATTCCTCTATATGTGTCGGCCACTTTGAATGGGATGACCTAATAGCGGCCTTGGACACAAAACTTAGACTCTAAAGCTTTCGTGCTAGGCGCATCGACCCTGCACGCCTTCTCGACGACGTCTGAGTCGACGTCACTAATTGCTTAGGCGCTTAATGGCGCTCTTGGTTGGCGCCTTGCAGCGCCTTCTTGAAGGCAGTTGGCACAATAATTTGCTTATCAGCCTAAAATGCTAGCAGGGCGCTATCTAGTGGTAAAATGGCGAAAAAACGAAGTGAAACGGTCAAAAACTGCGAAGAAAAGCCTTCGTTCTTGAGAAGCAATTTCGGACGAGTTTCCCGTAGGCGTATTGCAAATAACCGCTCCGGCTGCATGTATGTACTCATATATCCATTCAGCACCGCAGCCGCTTCATACTAATCCCTTCGCTTTATATTTTACTCAGCAAATGAAGCAAAACGAGCATCTGGTAAGGTCGTCCATTTGTGGGCGGGCGGGCGTGGCGGGCGTTTGGGTCGGAATGTTGTAGCTTGATAGGACCCTTATAAGGGTACCTCCCTCGGAAAAACCGCTATGCAGCGCCTACTCAGGGTCGCGGAAATCCGCCCTGCCACTCGTACCAATCCCTACTCGTTTTTAGGGATTTATCGTGCCAACTGCCTTAAACGGCACAATATTCTTTCGTGGTCACATGCCTTCCAAACAGGCTTCACTTAGAGCATCCAAGTATTTATCAAAGTGTGATCAAAATGACTTTGATTTCAACAAGAAGCTGCACCAGACCACAGTACACACACCAAATAAACAACAAATATGCAAGCATTACTTACATAACAAGGAAATACTGACGAATAACAATAAAAGTATTAGTAATTAAGGAAGAGATGTTACAAATACCGATGAATAATCGAATCACAGTCCTACAGCCGTCCATAATCTGTTCATTATCGAGTCATGCTTTGCCGGTTGAGCGTCCTGGAAAGTTAAAAGCCGGATTAAAATCATATATGAAGGATGTTGAACAAAAGCGAGCATTGGAAATCGGTAAGGCTGCGTTTGTACTTCGAGCCGGCGTTTTGAGCGTTCCGAGCAAACGTTTGCGTATACGCCACGTTTTCAACGACATGGCCGCAAAAAGTTCAAAAATACCCATGAAACGCTCAAAAGTCAGATCGATCTATATCTTTCCTGGTCGCTCACAAAGCTCAAAACGCTGCCGAACTCTCAAAGCGAGACGCAAAGTATGAACGCCTAGATGACCGTTAACCATGAACGCCCAGATGACCGTTAACCTCTTCTCGAAAAGTTCGGAAAATGTTACAAAACGCTAAAACTTTAGAGCTCATAAGTTTCGAACGAGGAAGCAATGTACCTTATTGTCCTGACGGCTATCATACGAGATGGTGAGCGATCGCATGCCTGCTCTTGATCCCATTGTCAAGCGAGAACGACTGAAATTTGTGACATAATCTGGGCGCAATTCGGCTCTGGGAATGCTAATTGTGCTAATCAGAGCCTGTGCAGGCCATCTTATGAAGACTACAAAGTCATGTCACCATGGTTATTCTTTTTTTACCATTCCGTAGCTTCACAAAAGTTTACAGGTTTCACCATACACGTTAACATGAACTAGAAAAAAGGAACGAGCAAAAGGGCAAAATGCCCTCGAAAACCGAACTGTATAATCTGCTTTCTACTTAACTCTGTACCCAAGGCCTAAAAAACCAGCGTTACCTCATCGAGTCATTGAGCGAGTCCTGATTTTCTTTACTGGGAGTTATCGAGGGAATCTCATCCGGTGCTTCTTCGCTGATCGATTGTTCAGCCATAGATGATCTATTGAAAAGTGGTGAAACAATCTGCGACGCATCCGCTCCAACAATTTCCTGAAAGTAGAAGTTTCAAACAAGGATTTAGGAACCAATTTAAGCTTGCCTGTACCTTATCTGTGCAAGGAATGACGCCGACCCGCAGTGATGAGTCAATAAGACAAGCATTTCGTGAAAGAGCTTGTCGTGCATGTATTGGGCACGAGTATCGAATATGCATCCAGTTTCCTCGACTGGGGACCTAAACGGTTGTTCTTTTGAGCAGGGGCAGGAATTGCCTTGCAAAACACTCACAAACTTCTAAGGCTGCGTTCATACGGCGTTCTGAGGTTTCGAGCGACTATCGAAGTATAGATATCGGCCTAGCGTTCTCAGCGCACGCCAGCGCTTTCGCGACTCTTCACGGGAAAATAGAAGCTACTCGCAAAACGCTAAATCTATACCTAGCGTTTATAATTACATAATTGAATCAAGCTGGCATACGCTCAAGACGCTAGATCGATACCTAAACTTGTCTAGTCGCTCGAAACCCTGACGCAAAGTAAGAACTCAGCCCAAAAAATTGGACTTGCCTGATGACTGACGATTTCGCCATGACGAGAAAAGTGTTTGAGTACGTTGGCTGCTTGTTCGGGTGGAAAACCATAGACGGTCACCCAATTTTCTGCAGGTGACTGGGCCCTGGTCCGTGGCTGATCGCGAAGCTGCTGCTGAGGAGAAAGACGAATCTGTCACGGGAATGCTCATCGACCGACGTGACACTTTCCGTACTGGCTCTATATCATCTCTCAATGATCGCAGAGGAGGAGCTGAACAGTTAAAAAAATCATAAAAATCAACGAAATAAAAAAGTAACACCTGCAAAATTGCAAAATCTACCTGGACTAAGGTTAGACGAGGGAGTAAACTGTCCCGACGACTGGCTTGGCAACGTTTTGAGGGTGGAACGAGAAGAGTCGTAAGGATGCGCACGTTCTTGTACTAATGCAGGTGACCAATGCACTGACTTCCCACTGTTTCCAGCAGATTCTCCTTCAATCAACACGCACTTCAGAATGAAACAGAATCCTATCAAAAGGGAATCTTACCTCTCAACTGGCTTGGTATTGGTGAAGCAAAAATGTCGTTTGACGGGGCATTTTGACCAGCGTACGGATTGTTAATGTCTGCAATGTAGGGAGCTGGTGAAAAAGGACAAGTACCATCCACAAGAAAGTGAATTCTGCCTAAATAAGGCGAAAATGCAAAAAACTGTGTTTGGAACTAACATGATGGAGTCGCAGGAGCAACCGACCGCCTCTTCTGGCCAAATAGGAATGCTGGAGTCTTAGCGGGCGAATCAGACAGATTATCACCGGAAAACCTGAATAAAAAATGCTATTAAAGACAGCCCCGCGCTCAAGTAGTACATGGTCGTCCTTCCTTGTGCAAGTAGTACAGCCCCCAAGCTAGAGACTGTCCCACTCTCGCGACTCCACAGCGAGCGAGGAGCGAGCTACAGCTTTGCTAGATGCCCTCTGACGGAGCCGCTCAGTTGTTCTTTGTTGGGGCGGCGGGCATTAATCGGAATTGCATGCCTTTTTGCTGACCGCGCTCGTGCCCATGAATGATTCTGCTCTCCTTTATTACATTTTATTTATTAGGAGCACATACAGCCCATTCCATCTTGCAAGGTAGAACGCGTAAAAATCACGAGCGACCCAATTTTCGTGGTGCAAAAGCTCGATTTACACTACACTGAAAGATGCGCGCTACCGTAACCCTAAATTCAGACGTCTAGTTTTTGAAAGTTTCTCCTCCCATTTCAAGAGTTTTTCTTCCGTTTTTAATGTTTTTCGTATATTTTCTTTTCATTGCATTTTATGATGGCTACACCTGGTTTTATACGATAAGGATTTGTGCATCCAGGGGTTGCACCGAAGACGCAGGAAGCGTGTGACTGCCAGAGAGCGCTTTTGTTTATGGTGTTCTCGAGGAGACTTCTTGCCTCTTTTTCTTCTTTGAGGAATTACTTATCAGCTACTGTTTCCATAATTGAGTAGCAACTATCCACGACACCTTTATCGTGGGAGTTGTATTTAATATTCAAAGAAATTCCTAACAATCAGTTCTGATTGTGAATGCTTTATCTTCTGCTGTGCTTTATGACCGCCTTTCATACTTTGCGACTGAGGAGACTCGGCAATTTGAGGGATTAGCGCGACGAGGCGAAAGTATACATCTATTGGAGCGAGCTGGAGGAGATTGAGCGATGCCAGACGATTCGACAGACTTGAGCGATCCCGCGGTTTGAGAGATTCGGTGTTTCCGGCGACTGCGTGCCAAATAAGTGGATGGGTACCGACCGGCGCCGATCGATGGCTATCGACTGTCCACTCTTTGACAGTCGCGATCGGCAACGCCGAGCCTTCAAATCGTCGAATCTCCCAAGTCGAAAATTATGAACGCGGCCCGAAGATGCAAAGAATGGCAGAAGCCGAATAATCGCAAAACCAGCAAAAAGGGGCTACGCATATCGCCCGCAGAGGAATCCATTGAAAGGAAGGTGTGCGTACCGACTAATTCCCACTTTTCCATTTGGGCCGATTCTTAGTCAGTCGATACGTGAGCCATTTTTTTGGTCCCGGCGTTCCTAATAGGTAGGTACACTCCCACTTATATTTTGCTAATTTCGCAATCTGCAAGAAATCAACGTGGCCTCACCTCTTCTGCATTCCGGTAGAGCTACTGTCCATTGAGGAATTGTCCATGGCAGCTGACATAGCAGAAGAGCGATTTAGGAGTGGCGAGTACATTCCTGAAATAAACGAAATTCTAGCAACATACTAAAGACTTAAAATGCAAAATTCAAATGCAATGAAGAAAAGCGATGGTGGGAAGTGATTAAACTAGAGCAAATACATAACACCTGCATTTATAAAATGCCTGTTTTGAGGAAGACGTGAGATAAAGAGACACATAATGCGGTTAAGGAAGAAATGGTTGTCTTCTTGGTGTAACAAACTTTAGGCTGCTCCGTTTTGAACGTCTACACTTTTTATGCTTATCTCAGGCAGTCACAAATAAAACAAACAAACAAGGTGCGAAGAAATCCTTCGCAACTAAATGGTGCTTTTTAATGGAAGTAGTCGGAAACCAACGAGAATTGAAGCACTAAATAGCGAAGGCTAATGACTGCACATCACTGAAATATAGAAAATGATGTATTGTACAATACCCAAAAGACAGGAAAAAGGGTCAAAAAGTGTTCAACTAGAACGGAATTAATTCAGAGATTATTTAAAGCCTCGAACAGCTCCCGCGCGCCATGGTCAAAAGTCAAACGCATGGCGGACATCTCGTCCACTTACGCCGTGCACGACAGAGTTCCCTCTGGGAACTGGATTGCGTGCTTTTATTCCGAAAACCCCTCTAGGCAAACCGCATCAGGTTGTCCGCGTAGGGCCATGGATTTTGGGGATGAAGCTAGTTGGTGCTGGTAGCAGGCAAGATTAGCATACTGACAAAAGCATCACAGCAAGGGCATCTCAGGCTCATTCTCAAGACGCTGTCGAGCCCTAGTTTAGTAGATACTGATGCCGAATGATAACCCCCATTGCTTCAAATCATTTAATAGAGTAGGGTCCATTTTCGCTTCTTAACCACGAAGCATTGTGACTGCGCTGGGACATCGCCTCTCCAACGTCGCGGACGAGTTTTCCGGTGAGATCGCGCGAACGTTTCGTTTTAAAATCGGGCCCGCTTCTCTCAGCGTTGCAAATTTTCAGTTTTAGTATTTGGATGGGGGTGCGAGGTTTTAGCCGTCTACATTTATGGGAAAGTGAATTAGAGAGGATCCCTCTTTATTTTGTTAGATTCATTGGGTGGATCGATTAGGCACTGTACTGTTATGTTGTCTGCCGTATTTCAATTGAAATTTTTAACTTGACGTGATTTTCTGTGCGGTCAGGTTTCCGTGAGATTTGTTGACTTCCTTTTGTGTCAGCTACTTTTAGGGATAGTCTTTCAATGTTTCTGGCTTTGGCGGCATGAGGGAGAAGAGGGGCATTTGCAACTTTTGTGTACTTTCTCATCGACGTGCAGAGCCATTAGAGAGCCATTTCGCGATCTTACAAGAATGGACATGTTTAGACATGTTGTCTCGACGAGCTTGCCCAGCTTCACACAAGAGTTCACAGGTTTTATCACAGTGGGACTTGTAGATGGGAACCAGTGGAGCCCAGCAAAACAAGTGCCCAATGCCCCCCCCACTGAGCTGTGCGAACCTGTGGCCAAGTTTGAGTCACGATCGCTAGATAGACGAGATATTTGCAGAGTGAATTTGGCAGGCGTTGTGGAGGATGGAGGATTTTGGCTCGTAGTGATATCATCCTTTTCTAATTTTTGCAGTTAAACTACCTTCTGTTTTGTTGACTGCAGACTATGTAGGACTGGCGCTTACGGTTCTTTTAGACAATATGAGTGCGTCATACTTTGCTCCAGCGTTTTGAGCGTCTGTCAGCGTCTCCAGCGGTAATCGATCCCTATCTTAGTCGCTTAAGACGCGGGCAGACGCTCTAAACGCTGCCGCAAAGTATGGACGCACTGTTGCAGCTGGAGAATTCGCGGAAAGGGGAAAGTCTTTGGCATCGATATAAAGCCTCTTCCTGTGATATCTTTTAGTCTTAGTCATTCAATCGCAGGTTTCTTTTACCTATCAACTTCAGAGTAAAATGACTGAAAACGATATGGAGGTCGATAGTGGACCAGGACTTTTCGAAGGAGGATCGCGTCGGCCACCGATAGATTTCGATGCCATGATACGAGAACTCCGAAGTCAACCGATAAAGAATCCTTGTCCTCGAGGGAAGGTTTGTCTTTTCACTTTTAGGATTTCCTACTGTAAGTAACTTGGAACTTCTACTTCTTGTGGTTTCGTTTTTTCCTGATTCTCTGGCTGGTTTGTGTCTATTTTGATTCACTTTGATGCGTCATAATTTCGGTGATGATGAGGGATGCCAGTGGTAATAGTCGTACCATCAGGAAAGCTCCACAAAGAGAAGTTGGGCGTTGCCGTGGCCAGTGGGCGGCACTGTGTCCTCGTCGCGGGCGGGTCGCGCTTTCCAACTAACTTTTTGGGGTAGTGCCCTTCATGTTTGCGGGCAGGACTACCACCATGTTCAATGGACGTTCCTCAATACCGTCATGCCTTTGAGGGGCTGTAACTCATTGTAACGATCAGCGCTTGGACGCGCTCAAGAGAGATTGGCCCTCTAGGCCCTTGGTCCCTAGCGGAAATGCTCTAGCTTCTTTCTCGTTCAGCTCCGGGTTCATTATGGTGTGAATTAATTCTATTGGGTGCAGGTGTAGTAGGCGTCTGCCGTCCAACAGGTTACATGTTGAGAGAGCTGCGGTATGTCTAAACCTTGCCCTACTCCTCAACTCCCAACTCCTTTAGTCTGAAACGAATCTCCATATTTTGGAAAGTGTTTCACTCAACCCGGC